AGGTGTTTGTCAGCTCGCCTTGTGTAGCAGCAGATAGAATTTCAGCAGTGAAGTTCTGTGGGCTGTGCCTCTGAAGCTCAATTCTGGCTTACTGCCTTTGTGTTACACACGTGGTCACGGGTAAATCCTGAATGCTCTCCCAAGTATTTACATTGACAATGAAAATAAAACACAGGCTCTGTGTGGTTTAGGGATGTGCCACGAACAGGCAACATCCGAGCACAGGAACATCAAATACCAAATGTTAATGACAAATAGACACACGCTAAACTCCCAAACTCGCTGAGGTCTGTCCTCACCTGAAAACTGTCTCTTACGTTGTCAGTGTCTGAGCAAGTATTACAGGACTTCCCTGTAGTTGATATGCTCTGTTCAGCTTGGGCATATTTCTCTTCAGCAGGGTTTTTCAAAGAAGGTCGTGCTTATTCACTGCTGAAAACCTTGTAACAGCACACTTGAACTGCATGACCCATTTTAATCAGGCAGGTTTTAAAACCCTGTAACTCAGGGCAAGCTCTGGGGATTTGCTACAGCCCACCAGACTGCCCAGGCCATCGTTTCAGCTCCATGAGGTGGAGCTGTGAAACCTCACCTGCCTTGCCAGTGCCTCCAGTTAAGAGCCCAGCACGTTCAGGTAAAGAGCCCTTGTTTCGTGCTCTTGAACACACAGAGTGACTTTACTGGGAAGGAAAAGAGCCATCAAGCAGCTGTTTGGCAACATGTATTTGAAACGTGATCTTACTATTTATAAATTAGGGCTTAAACTTTTAAAATGTTTATTATTATTATGTCTCTCAGCAGTAAAATAGTATCACAATTCTTGCAGAGGTATTTATTATTTGCATTTGGGTTTCCCTCTGACTGCTTTAATGAAAACTCACTTGTATTTGCTATTCCAAGGTGTCATTTGTCTCACCAAAACAACCAAACTCTGAAAAATGAACTGATTCTTTTCTATCTTGTGCTTGTAGGAAAAAAAGTGGTTAATCAGTGGCTGTCTTCAGAGCAAGCCTGTGTATGGGACTGGCTTCAAATAATGGTGTCGCTTACACCTCTGCAACTGATGGTATCAGAACTGCTTTCAGGCAACTGAATATCATTTGAGGTCTGTGAGGTGTGACTGGAAGCACCATTTGGACTGTGAAACAGTATATCCGTCAGGAAGAATGTAGGTTCATCATCAAATCCTAAACTGAGATCACAGGGACTGACAGTAAATGGAGAAAAAAAAACAACTTTGATTTGAAACTGAGAAGAAAACCTCTCAGAAATCACTAAGGGGCTGTGATGTTTTGAGAATAGAACTGTAATTTAAGTACTTTAAGAGATAAATTTGACTCCTTTAGCAAGATTAGGAAGTAATTTAGTAGAAACATAATGCTACCTCTGTATTTGAAAGCAGTTCTTAGAAGCCACTGGACAGCCAAACCTTCAAGAGTTTGTTACATGGTACACCAACCAAATGTACAAAGAAATAAAGTAACGATTGTGGAGAAGGATATAAGGACAGCTCTTAAACTCTCTGAAATTGGTTCCTATACCCAGTTCTGTCCTGCTTTAGACAAAACCTTGGCTGTTAAGAAACCACAACAGTGATGTCCTTGGATCAAAATGAAACTCTGGTGTTTGCTACATGTCCTCTGTTGTGGTGGGCTCCATCTATATCAGTACTTTAAGGCCCTTGATATCAGGACCGACTTCTGTCCAGCAGCCCAACCATCAGCACGAGTTACTGGCACTAATGGCAAACAAAGAGTTCTGATATCCCTGACACACCAGTGAGACACAAATGGGTGTTTCCCTCTTGTCACTTGCACAAGTTCCTGCTGGGTACTCTGCTGGTGACTTCTAGTTCATGCAGATTCCTTTTTCCTTGTGGAAACAGCAGTGAAAGGGGAGCGGTGTAGTTGGGGGCTGCTGTGGGTTCCCATGAGAAAAGGTGCCTGTCAGGGAAGGGGCAGCTTGTCCCTTGTCCCCAGCAGCCCTGGTCGCCTCCCAGAATAGGTCCCTCTTCCAGCCTGTGGTGATGCTGGAGCTAAACAGAGCTGTGAAGAGTGGCAAGGATGTCCTACAGTGGTTGTGTCTCGTGGGAAGTCACTGTGCTGAGACATCAATGGATTACAGGAAAATAACATTAAGAATTAATAAATTAAGGATTATTAAGAATAAAAGCTTGCTTGCTTTTAAACCGGCTTTAATTGCCTTCACACTGAAAACCACTGGATGACCCCCTGCTCTGGTCCTCAGCAATCGGCTTGAAACAGGACAGTAAATGACACTAAGGCTGTTTAGATCCCAAAATACACCCATCTTCCTGTTCAGAAATTCAGTGTACTCCCCAAGAACATGCCTGCCGTGACAGGGGCAAACCAGAAGGGTTCCTAACAGAAAAGGGTAACCGGAAAATTACCAGGGACAACCGGAAGGAATGGGGAGGACATGGATTTTGAAGAAAATAGTATGGAAGGTCTGTTACATCCTGCCCAATGAGACTTCAACCAAAGGAATCCAGGAACAGCCCTAATCCTAACCCTCTGTTTTATGAACATAGATTTTACTGCTGTGCTTTGTAGCATTCACAGTCTCCAGATAGGATTCTGTCATCATCAGCTTAACAGGTCCACTCTTGAGCCTGTCATTCATTCATCCTTCTACCTTCTCCTTTCCCTCAGCCAACCTACCCTTTGAACTTCCTCTGCCACCTTAATCGGATGAAAACATGTTGTAGCAAGTCCACTTCTCCCATGAGAAGGCTGAAGTTCTCTGTGCTGCTTCTGTATACCACATAGCACTGAAGTCCATGCCAGACTTAGAGCCTTACTAGCACTCAGAAAACAGCCATAAAAAAAAATCCTTTCTCCAGTATAGCTTCATCTGCTCATTGCACCATTTAATTTCCATCCCAACTCACCTGCCTAGAAAACATTCTCTGCAAAGACCAGAAGTGAAGCATCTCTGTGCTGAGGAAAGGCTGAGAGCCCTGGGGCTGTTGAGCCTGGAGAAGAGAAGACTGAGAGGGGATCTGATCAACGCTGATCAGTATCTACAAGGTGGGTGTCAAGAGGCTGGGGCCAGGTTCTTGTCAGTGGTGCCCAGTGGCAGGACAAGGGGCACTGGGCACAAACTGGAACCCAGGAGGTTCCATCTGAACATGAGAAAAAACTTTTTCACTGTTCAGCTGTCAGAGCTGTGGACTAGGCTGCCCAGAGAGGCTGTGGAGTCTGCTGCTCTGGAGAGATTCCAAACCCTCCTGGAGGGGATCCTGGGTGGTTTAGGTGGCCCTGCTTTGACAGGGAGGTTGGACTAGATGATCCACAGAGGTCCTTTCCAACCCCTGCCATTCTGTGATTCTGTGATCTGCAGGGACTGTCCCACCCATGGCCACTGAGAGGCTCTGGTGTCCCTAACTCTGCACTCTCATTTGTTAACAGCTCCTAGCAATGTCTGTTAGCACCTAGTTGTCTATTCCTTCCCCAGCCCCTCTGTCTCACACTGGCAACTGATAACCCACATTCCTCATTCTCATTCATCTCTAGTCCAAGTTTGCTTCCCTGAGAATTGGGTGACAAATTTCTCCTGACCATCCTAAGTCTCAGGAGAAGATCTCCATTGCTGATCTGCTACAGAGTGATGCTTTGAAACCCTCTGGCTGAGCTGATCTGGAGTTCAAGTATGGTCAAAAGATGTCCTTGGGACACTAGGTTTGTCTGTTGAGGTGAACAACCAAACCTGTATCAAGGTGGAGAATGGTTCTGCTTGAATGTGTTCTGAGCACCCCTGAAGCCTCCCTTAGCACATCTGTGCTGCTTCTTACTTATGCAGACAAGCAAACAAAAAAGAACAGAAAACAGCAGGAAAACTGCAGGAACACTGCAGGAACTGCCTGTAGAGCCAATGCTGCCCAGAGATAAACTCCAGAGAAAGAGGCACCACCAGTCTTTGAGGTCCCATGGCAGGATCTGTAACGGCGAAGCTGCCAAAGGAAGGTTCTGAAGGGTGAGAAAGTGTGAGATGGGGACCAGGCTTTCTGAGACATTTGTCAACATGTACAAAAAGATACCGGGATATTCAAAAGCACTTAACCTGCACAGGTCCCACCAGGGTGCTTGGATGGATGGATGGTCAGTGCAGCAGGTACCAGACATGAAGGCAGGTAGCACAAGCACTGTGAAGATGTGAAAGCAGGCTCAAAAGAGCAAAAGCCCCTCTGAGAAAAGCACTGGGACCAGCAAGGCAAAATGATGACTGTTTGATTTCTGCCAGTGATAAGTTTGCTAAGGAGGATCCACAAGTAAAATACACCCCTGTAGTAACTGGCTGGGGAGTGATGGGAAGGTGACCAAATATTTGTGTATTATTCTAGTGACTATATCCAGTGGATGATACAGAGCAAATGTTTGTCCTCATGCTGCTGCTGAGGTTGTTGTGCTGCAGGGGCAGGGACAGGGTTAAGCAGCCAAACCAGTCCCTTCATCCCAGCCGTGTTTAAGTGGCAGGTTTCTACAAACACACTTTTATGTTCTGCCTGTCACAGCCTCATCAAATGCCAGCACTCACCATTTCACCTGTTTCCTCCCACTGTGACTTGGAGCTGCTGAAGGAATCTGAAGAGGATGATTCCTGCCTGGAGCTATGGTGAAATACATTCACCAGTCTCTGCTTTATTCACTCCCAGGGCATTTTCCTAGAGGCATCTAATGGACATAACTTCTTCCTTTTCTCTTGAGATTAGAAATAATCTGAAATATGTGTACGTTAATACCTTTTTAACTTTATTTGCCTTGACTTTCCAGAGATTCACTTCAGGGTTCAAGAAGAATGTTTCCAGGTGAACCTGATTTGGTTCGGGTAGTTGTGCCAGATGCAGTTCATTTGGGAGTGGGAGGGAGAATGATGAAGAGGGGATAAGAGGCTTTGGAAGGCCCTCAAGAGCCCTTTCTGTCAGGGAAGCTTTCCAGTCTTCTGTCTTAGTGAGTCCCTGTTGTTTTCTCCACCTTATTATGCCATCACCCATTCCTCTTAATTGTTTCCTTCCCGTGGAGTTTTCCCCATCCGCAGACTTGCGGCCCTGCAGCAGCCCCTTAGTTCTCCCTGGCAAGGACAGCAAAAGCTTTCTGGGGGGGACTCCTTTGGTCAGGGCTCGCCGCTTGCCTCCGCGCCTGGCCTGGTGCTCCATCGACTGGGACCAGCTCTGCCTCCTGCAGCCCCTAGGCTCTGGGGGCTTCGGCTCTGTCTACAAAGCCACCTACCGCGGAGCAACTGTGGCCGTGAAGCAGGTGAAGAAGAGCAGCAAAAACCGGCTGGCATCGCGGCAGAGCTTCTGGGCCGAGCTGAACGTAGCCCGGCTACGGCACGACAACGTGGTGCGCGTGGTGGCTGCCAGCACGTGCGCCCCGGCCGGCCAGAACAGCCTGGGCACCATCATTATGGAGTACGTGGGCAGCATCACCCTGCACCACGTGATCTACGGCACTTGCGAGGCCTGGAGGCAGGGCGAGGGCGCCGCAGGAAGCTGCGGGAGGGAGGCCCTGAGCATGGAGGAGACCGTGTGCTATTCTTGTGACATTATGGCAGGCTTAGCCTTCCTGCACTCCCAGGGCATCGTGCACTTGGACCTGAAGCCTGCAAATGTCTTCATCACCGAGCAGGGAGTGTGCAAGATCGGGGACTTTGGGTGCTCCCAGAAACTGGAGGAGGGCTTGTCCCAGAGTCCCCACGTCTGCCAGCAAGGGGGCACGTACACGCACCGCGCCCCAGAGCTCCTCAAAGGCGAGCGGGTCACGGCCAAAGCGGACATCTACTCCTTTGCTATCACCCTGTGGCAGATCGTCATGCGCGAGCAGCCCTACCTGGGCGAGCGGCAGCACGTGCTCTACGCCGTGGTGGCCTACAACTTGCGGCCCTCGCTGGCCGCTGCCGTCTTCCACGAGTCGCCCGTGGGCCGGCGGCTCCAGAGCATTATCAGCTGCTGCTGGAAGGCGAAGGCAGAGGAGCGTCTGAGCGCAGCCCAGCTGCTTCCCAGCTTCAGGGCCCTCAAGGGGAGCTTCTAGGAAAGCTCGGGACTATTAATGCTTCTTTTAGTGGCAGCCTTCTTTTTTTCTCTCTGTCTTTCCTCGCATCAGAATGAATCTAGCCCCTCTGTGATCTAAAGGCTTTGTGGGTGGTTTTTTATGTTCAGAGAAAAAAAAAGAGAAATTGTTTTGATATAAGAAGGTTATAAATAAAGAGATTTAAAAAACTGTGGGTTTTTTCTGTGGAAGGAGATAGAGGCAAGGGTCAAGATGTTGGCAAATGCGACCTTCTCTGGTGATTTGTTGTGTGCTGCCTTGCTCAGGGAGAAACTGGGGAATGTGACGTGCAGAAGAAAGAGTTGTTTTCATCCAGTGAAGTACAAAAAAGGGCTGCTTTTGGAAGGTTCTTTGTACATAATACCTTCTGGTATTTCCAAAATGTCAGATATGAGTAGCTCTTTACACTAGCTTGATGCATTTGAGCTTTTCCTCTTCATTTACCAAGGAATGAGTGTGGATCACAAGTGAATGCAGGAAAAGAAACACAGGCCGTTGGTGGGTTTTTTCTTAGATGTATCTAATTTTGGTAAGCATGCTGTTCCCAAAAGTGAACTATCCAGACTCCCCATTGGAATAAGGAACCTTCTTGTCAATCTGAGGCTATTAAGAGTAAGGAGACACTACATTAATAACCTGTGCTTTCACAAGACCTCATGTTACCGGGTGTGTTAGTTGCAACTTGCTAGTTGGTGTACTGTTAACTTTAGAATCTGCAGTATTGTAAGAGCATCTTGTGTGGAACAGAAAACTCCCAGGTTTTGGAGGGGGAGTTTAAAAATAATTGGGAAAACATGGAGATGTACAGATACAAAAAAAAATAATAAATTTGGGTTAGAAAGGGATTACTTACCCTTCATAATGTGTGGGTCAATACTAGGCAAGATACTCTGGGTACTAAAAAGGGAGGTTGCTTAAAGCAGCAATAATGACACTCTGCTGGAGCTCAAAGCATACGCTACTGAACTGTCTGCTGCCCTGCTTGTGTCTTATCTACTATCTTTCCTAATCTGGTTGTAATGTGTCTGGGAAAGGAAATGCTGTAGGCAAGGCTGAAGAAGGAGAGCTCTGATCCCTGACTTATCAGAACTGATAAGGGTTGAGATCTCGACAGATATATAATTATCTGGAGCTACAAAGATCTGACTGCTGTAGCTGATGTTGTTCTTCTGCTCAAAGATTCCACTTCTTTTTAAGACAGGATAAAGAGTGATATTTCAGTCAAATTGTTTCTCTTCTTTCCCCTTCCTCCCCCTTGCTTCCATTCTGGAAAAAAACTCCCAAAGGAATTGAGCCAGATCCCTGATTTCTGACACACATCTGTTCTTAGCCCCATGAAATCCTGGAAATGAGCAACTATGTGAATTTGAGATGATTCTGTAGGTCTTCATGGTATTTGGGTTGGTCATTGAAATTAATGGTTTATAAAGCACATCTAAGTTTAACTATTTCTTGTTCTTCTGTCTGCCTTAAATGGAACTGTAGAATGCCAGCTGGAATCAACAACCTAAGGTAAATTCTGGAATACATTTCCTGTGTTTTCTTTGTCAAAATAATTACGCTATGGAACAAGAACTTGCAGGGTTGGGTTTTTTTGTGTGTGTTTGGGGGGGGAGGTTGTGTTGCATAACATCTTTTACTAAAGAAGTAATATCTTATAAAAGTTATCATAATAAGTAAGTGACCTAGTAAAGTGATTAGCTGAGGCACGTAAGATAGTGTCTAACAAAGCCATGGGCATCCCTCACCTTAGCATGGAGCCTTACATAAAAATGTTTCTCCAGACTTCAAATGAACATAATGAAAAAAAGAATTAAAGTTTTTTAGTAGTTTCTAGATGCTTATGTGTAGTATTTATTTTGCCAATCTGGGTAGCTTGTTGCTTAAACTGCTAGAAACTGTTATTTTGTGCTTAATGATACTTTAGCATCAATAAGTGCTACTTGAGCCTGTGAAAAATCAAGCATCCTTCAAATTCTCTTTTATACTTGACAGAAGAATCCCGGATGGCCAAGACCTATGCTTGAAGCATAATCAGCTCTCCAGATGTCTCTGTCAATTTTACTGGATTCTCTTTTGAGAGGGAGTGGGAACTCTGCACAGCACTTGAGATGTAGGCATGTCATAATGTTGTCCTCTATTTTTAGGAACATCTAAGATTTGCTTTGATGCTTTTTGATTGCCAATGAACTTTTGGTTATTTCTAATCAAGAAGCATCTCAGGCCTGATAGCTCAGAATTCATGGTTATCATGGTCATCATGGTGATCAATTAAGAAAATTGAATATACATAAATCCATGGTGCGTCCTGATGAGACACACCCAAGAGAATTATGAAATGGCTGA